AATAAAAGAATTTTTTTTTTAAAAGAAAAAAAAATAGAACTGAATAAAGAATGGGTACTACATCATCATCTCTTATCCGGACCCACCAGAGTAGGCTTTGCCTAAGAAGATAACTTGAAGTTTATCATACCTAGAAAGAAAAAAATACAATTAGAAGATCATCAAAATTTCGTTAGAAACATATCAAGTACAAGGTAAAATGACATACCCGGCTAAAACACCAGCACCGGCAATAGCACGAAGGATGTTAGCACCTGCACCCTTGAACAAAGACTTGGTTCCTTCTTTGGATACGATTTCCTTGAAGCAATGATAAGATGACTTGTATTTAACGGCCTCTCCGGACGTCATCATCATTCTACGTCGTATTGTGTCTATAGGGTAACTTGCGAGACCCGCTCCAATAGTGACGGACCAGCCAAGTAAGAATCTAGAGGCAGATTAATTATTACCGAAAAGCAACAATTTCAGACATTGAATAAAGTTTTTTTGTGGGCAAATTAATCATAACAAATGACCTAATCTTGTATATACATCATCAATTTGAATTACTTACGATGCGGCGAAGTTATCGCGGAGGGGTCCAGTTAGGACAATGGGTTTCAGAGAGTCGAACATACCGAAGTAAAGACCTCTATAGATTATGATACCTATAGGTCACAGGTTATTGGTGATAAAATGCAGGATGGATCAAAATTGTTTAGTTATTCATAAATCGATGACAACATCATGCATATCAAATCATGTAATGTCAAATTTTGTAGATCAACTTACCAACACATGAAATGTTGAATCCTAAAATATCATATTTACATTATTAGGATATGTCAAATGGTGAAAGATCGATTGACGAAACAATAAATCAATCAAGAGTTAAATATACCTCTGTAAAGACCAACGATACCATCCGATTTAATGGTCTTACGGTAAACGTCAACAAGGCCATTGAATTGACGTTCGCCGCCCTTTTTAGCTGACTTGGCATCGTTGGCAAGACGGGTTCGAGCATAGTCAAGAGAATAGACGAAGGTTAAAGACACGGCACCGGCAGCGCCACCCGATGCAATATTACCGAAAAAGACCTTAGCGTAACCGTCTCTCTCTTTTTTAAAATTGAACATTCGCTTAAATTTATCCTTGAATGCAAAGTTCAAGGCCTGGGTGGGGAAATATCGAATAACGTTGGCGGTGTTACCACGCCAGAGACTGATTACACCTTCATCCTTCATCGTTCGGGAAAAACAATCAGCAATACCCTTGTAGGGTTGGGCAAGACGACCGCTCTTGATCATCTCATCCTGGTTTTGAATAAGAAGTTTGACACGTTCAATAGGAGCAGCAGCGGTCTTTGACACGGCGGCGGAAACACCACCCATCAAAAAGTCAACGAGAAAGGATGACGTGTTCTTCTTCGCCGGTACATTAGGGGTGTCTTTCTTTTCCGACATTATATTAGAGTTTAAGAGTGGGGAGAAGGTAAAATTTAGTGATCGGTATAGCTGAAAAAAAAAATGTGAAAGAGTAGAGAAATAGATTGGCTTTCTCGGTGCGTTGAAATTGATTGGACGGATGCAAAAACTGATTGGATCTTGATTTCCTGCAAAGTCCGAAATGGAAATTTTTCAGCAAGCCACAATGTGCTTGTGTTTCATCTCCACCGAATTTGGATATTCAGAAAAGGAGTAATATGAAAAAAAAAAAAAAAAAAATCATTTATCGATGCTTTTGTTTTTCTCAAGAATTCAGAGTAAGTAAAAGACATAATTTATTATATTGAATTTTTCTCTTTGTCGTGATGAAAAATTGAAGTGTCCCAAATTGTTCGACTTGACGCGAATGCGTGATGGTGACATTTATGACTACGTACGGTATCTGACATGAAGTGAATTAAACAAAAAAAAAATTTTTTTTTGCAATAAAAAAAATCATTTCTAACCAATCCAATAATCCATCTCATTTATCAGGGATTACACGGCATTTCTCATTACTGAGTAATCGATAAGTCAAAAATGGGACCAAGGATTTTTATTGGTTTCAAAGAAAACGTCCGTTCACGTTGGAATTTGTTTTTTTTTTTCATTTGCAATTAATTCATTCAAAATAGTCGAATGATAGAGAATATAGAAACAGTATGCGCATATAAAATATTTTTTATGGTTGAGTAAGGCAATCCTCATATTTATCGGTCATATAATTTACAACAATGAAATTAAAAGAACCAAAATAAAATAAAATTGCACAATTACATCGGTGATAAAGGAAATCGCTAATTTTCGTTGCAAGCAAATTTTATAAATAAAATTATTTAAAAATCAAGAGAAAATCAAAACAGGTTATACATGTACTAGTTGATCTATTAATATGGTTTATTATTATTATCATTATTATGATTGTTATTTTATAATTAAACAAGCATTTAATCTTAAAAAAAAACGAATTACAGTACTAATTATAAGTAATTCTTTTTTTTTTTTTTGAAAAGAGCAAATGGCTATTACACTTTATTATATTTATTATACTTTCACTTACATACAGGGTAAGATACAATAATCAATAGCATGACATACGTCTCTCTTTGCTAGAAAGAGTTTAACGCAAGGCTCCCATATGGGGCCAGACCCCTGTGCTCTTTTAGCACCACCCAAGGAATATAGATAAAAAGAAATTCAAAAATCTATATCGAATTATGAATGGCGTCCAGCTACCTGGAATTAAATGAATACCTAATTACATGAAGGTGCTACAGCCAATCTATACAGGTTGGCCTCCAAGTCATGATTAGGATTGACACGCCTGCTTTCCAAATATGGCTTGATGTATGGCAAGTGGAGTAGTATTGGAGGTGATAGGAGATAAGTACCTTTTTGCATGAAGGTGCTGCAGCCACTTTATACAGGTTTGCCTCCAAGTCACAAAAAAAATTTGGCACACCCATGCTTCAAGTGTGGCGGAAGTGTCCTATGGGTGGAGTTCTTATTGGTTTTTTTAATGGCGCCGGAACCTAACCTTGTACAATAGATCTACATTGTCGGAGGGGTAAGCAAGAAACTTTCATTGTCGTCACCAGCTCATGTTGCGGGGTAACTAGAATCCCTGGTCGTTACATATTACCCTACTAAGTTCTCCAATCACCAGCATGACACCTGCAACTAACCTAGCTTATTGCTAGTTGCATTGGTATTGGCTGCCATTTCGCTTTGGATACTGTGGAGCGCAACTCCTTGGATACTTTTGGATAATAATAGTTGTACAGAGGTTTCTTGGGTGTATCTAGTCTAACTGCCAATCAATAAACAACGCCGGGTTTGGTAATGATGACCATGTCGATCTTTTGGAGGGGGTAAGCCATCTGTCTTTTTTCTGAGGAGCCATAAAAGAGAGAGAAATTCCTACAGTTCACGTCCTAAGAAAGATTACTGCTTCTTAATATGGTCCTTAAGAAAAGGAAGTCAATTGGCCAAAGGAGTGATGTTATGGAGACAGAGTTTTCAAAAGAAAGAGAGGCCTAGGGAGGAAAATCTTCAGGGAAAAAGGAAAAACCTAGCTTCGGCAGGAAGAAAAGGGGAAAGAAAAGGGAAGGGATAAAAGTAAAAAAAGAAAATATATAAAAGAGAGGGGAGAGAATAGGAGAAAGGAAATAAAGAGGTATGGGGAGGGGGATAGAAAGAAGGGAAAGAGGAAGATAAAGAAAAAGTAAACAACTCAAAAATTTCCTAAAAAGGAAATTTTCAAGCATAGAAAAGGGAGTGGGAAAGAGTTTTTTT